ACCTGTTAAGGGGCATATTTCTCGAAACCATCCAAGCGTGTCTTAGTAGAAGCGTGATATTGGTAACCGTCCAGCTATACATGGTCTTAGTTGCGTTTGAGTACATCTTAACTGTATCGGGTGGATTATATCAGCCAGTATTTGTCTTCAATGTCAATGTCTTCAACGCCGCAAAACTAGCGGCGTCATAAAATCATTCTTTAGACGTGCATTTAAACATTATTCTGATGGGACCGTAAATGCATTCATAATTGATTGCATCAGACAGATCTTGGTGAACCATTTTTTTTCTCTTCAAATTCTGGCGTTGATAACAAAATACGACATATGGCAAAGCACATTGACAACAAACCACAACAAGGCAAGCAACCAATCGCCCGATGGCGTTACCGAAGTAAAATTGCGTTCGCCCGAAAGCAAGACGGAAAGCTCTACAGAAAATCCTCTCTCCACATGTTAAAGACAGGAACGACCACAGAATAGGCATTGCCATTTATTATCGCAATATACAAATATCCAGCCTGCTTATGAGAAACAGACGCGACAAACCCAGCGAATCCAGATGTACCAATGTAATGTATCAATTCAAATGTGATCCAGAAGTCCTCAAAATTTGTCCCAAACATTATATTACTGTAACCACGACACTCTCACGGCATCTAGCGATGCTTTTTGCGCCAGGGCACCCTGGAGGACATGCGACACGAACATGACAGAACTTTGACACAACAGCTGACGGACAACAGTGTCATTCTTCAGACGTGCAATGACAGAATACGCCCTCAAATTTAGGAAATTAAAGGTGTTAAGCAGTTCTGTCAGCCCTAAACGGAACAAACAAAGTTTCCCACCACCCTTGAGCTATTAGGTGGTGGGCGATAGCAGACGTTCATGCGATTGCGGCTGTGTGTCTTTGTGGCGTTTCCATTTCGGGATGCATCTGTGGGCATTCAAGTCACAATAACAATATTTGCGTTATCCGTGCTAAAAGACATTCTAAAGACGG